TACTACGCGCTTTACACAGCGCAGCTATGGAGATCGGACCAAAAGGCTTAACTCTAACTGAAATCTCGCCAGTGGCTACGGTTCTTAGTTATACATACGTCAATTCGATTCGTGTATTCACATTTCCTTCACAAATAGTTTAATATTATCCTCCCATTTTCTGCTTAGAATTCAAAGTGACTGTTTTCAAACGGCATTCCCCCTGAAATCCATATGGTACATATGTGTTTCCGCCATTGTAAATGTTTGTCCAGCCAGTAATAACTTCTGTTATGCCATAAAATTACATTAAGGGACTTCTCTTTATGCTGGATCCCCCATCCCATCTCGGGCACACAGAAAAATAAACAATGGCCAACTTCACTTATTAAGCCTTGAACCTTAAGAGTACTTTATACATAAACACTTCCTTCACTGCGGGAAGAAGCCTGATAAAATATGGTCGTAATCAACTTTGAAATGACATTCCGAAATTTGTATTCAGATTCTAAAAATCATGCCCGTTTTCTCGATTTACGGTCAAGGATTCGAAAGGAGTTGATTCAATATTCAAAACTGTACTTCACTGCCAATTTCTCTTTAAGATATGTGGTTCAGATCTTTCGCGACGGTGAAATTTTCGTATTGTGGTTTTCAGGGTTACTTCATCATGCTGTAATGTACAAGTTGAGTACCAAGGTTTCGGAGGAACATATGTTCTCAATCCTCTACCCTGAAGATGGAAAAATTTTAGTTCTCTGGAACTCTGGTACTCACACGGGGGACGGAAGCCTATGATAACCCAGAAGACCACAATATTAATTTCACTTCGGGGACTTCATTTTATAGTTATCAAAATCTCCGAATTTAATGGATTTCACTTTAAATTTCATGTGTACTCTTTTACGAAAAAGAGATCTCAGTGTCAGATAGTAAATATACGAGGTTTCGAATAATATCACAACATACAGCACTTCTTTCGGTGTCATAAAGCACTTATTTTGGACATGATGGGAAATACCAGAATCAGACATGCGCAGAGAGGTTACGGAGTGACGCCTCGACGGCGGTTGCAGCTCGTAACCGCAACATCTCAAGGGTTATAAAAATGACGTTAACAGACATCGCTGCGAAGGATCGTTCCACGTTATGACTTGGATATGGCTTCTATGTTGGTCGCTTGTAATGAATATGACGTTAGATGTCCCATTTCTCATTTTCAGCCTCCGACAAATAAAGAAATGTTACTCTCTACAAGATTACACACTTTCTAGTCAATGGGCACTAAATGTCGTATAAAAAAACATTACTTTGTTAACAAAAATATTTCTGCCCTAAAACAAATCTTATCTAGAACCCTTTATTGGACCTTCACCACTTTTCAGTTTCTTAATCCTATACAAAGTCGGTAGGACTCCTTGGCGGGGGATCAGCCGGTCGCAAGGCAGCTACCTACACACAGAATAAACACACACATATCTATGTCTTGAGTGGGATTCCAACTCACGACCCCAAGGTTCGTGTGAACAGTTCATACCTTAACCCGCGGGTCACTGTGATCGGCAGTGATTTGATTAGTACAGCCCAAGTAGGATTTGGAGTTGATTGCTTGTGGGAAAGTTAATTCACCATTCAGTATCGTAGCATTGGAGGTATCAGTTAATTAGCTGAGCGACTGTCAGCTTCTGAAGTTTTCGTATTCGTATTATGAGAGGGGGTGGGTTTCCCCATGCACTTAGACCAGTTGTTGGTCCATTGTGCGTCCCCCTTTAATTTCTACTATCGCCATACCCTACCGGTAACGGTGCGTGCCATCAGCCCCCGTAGAGCCAACGAGGTCGGCCTTCGGTGCCTGGATGCTTCCCCCATCCACCAGAGGCATTGGAGACTACTTGGGCGGGAAAGGGACTGTAATTTAGCTCAGAGGTCTCCTAGAGGCATGAGGTTCTTTTACGTGCCGTAAATCTACGACACGGGACACACGGCTTAAAGTCCCTCCCTGATTTTTTCCGCCCTTAAAAATTCCACTACCTCCGCCGGGTTTGAACCCGCGTACCTCCTTGAGTCATGAGGTGGGAACGTTACCCCTAGACTACCGAGGTCGCAGGTTCTGAAGTAAGACTCTGTTGTATGGATTTAGTTGTATGATTTTAATTTAAGTTATAATATTACTGAGGGTGTTGAGGAGAATATTTTGACCGAAGAGAGATGAAGTGACAGGAGGTTGGAGAAAACTGCATAATGAGGAGCTTCATAACTTGTACTCTTCTCCAAGTATAATTAGAATGATCAAGTCAAGGAGTATGAGGTGGGCAGGTCATGTAGCACGAATGGGGGAGATGAGGTATGCATCTAAGATGTTGGTGGGAAAGCCAGAAGGAAAGAGATCACCGGGAAGACCAAGGGGTAGGTGGGTGGACAATATTAAAATGGATCTTAGATAGGATGGGATGGTATGGATTGGATTGGTCTGGCTCAGGACTTTCATCCTTTTTGTAGCGACACTTTTTTTTTATTGCTAGTGGGGTGGGACTAAGTCCCTTGTACTGCGGCCACTTCTGGCCTATTGTACCAGCCCCAGATGATAGGTGAGGGTGATTGTGGAGCAATTGGTGGAATGAAGATTGGCAAGGGAAACCGAAGTACTCGGAGAAAACCTGCCACAGCGCAACTTTGTTCACCACAAATCCCACTTGGCCAGACCCGGGATCGAACCCGGGAAGCCAGCAACTAACCGCTTGAGTTATGGCGCGTACCTGTAACAACACTAGATTCTTAAGAAAGATATTCCGATGAGTTCATAACATTACGCGAATGATGGGTCTTTATTGATTCCGCGCTGGACTCGGTATCCAGGGGCCAGTTAACAAAGTCGGCACGAATACAAAACAGCGACAACAAACACAAACATGCAGTCAAAAACAGACAAGGTAATTTCAAAATCAATTATATCACCTGAAATTAAACATAAGTTAATAATAATAATAATAATAATAATAATTCACTTCCATATCATTTATGTGCTGAGCCAACAGCCACAAGGCCAATTACAGACTCAGCAGGGTGTAGACAGAAGTAGTTGCATACTGGACAAACAACATAAAGTCAAAGAGTAATTAAAGTTGATTTTTTTTTTTCCTTGGCACTACAGCCCCAGTGGGCCTAGGCCTACCTCCATGAACTTCCGTTCACTTCGGTAATTAAAGGTGAATATTGGAAGAAAACAAATTAGTGCATGTAATTAAGCAAACGCCGGTCACAGTAGCCGAGCCCACTCAGGGCGCTTTTCTGTGTTTGTGTACAGGTAGAGGCCTTGAGACGAGCTGATCACCCGCCCAAGGAGTCCTACCGAGTGTTTAAGATCTAGAAAAACCGAAGTGAACGGAGAAGTTCAAGGAGGTAGGCCTAGACCCACTGGGGCTGTAGTGCCAAGGGAAAAAAAATAATAATAGTTCAATTTATATTTAATTTATTTATTTATTTATTTATATTTAATTTAATGTTTTTCAATAGTATGGGTCTGTTGCATTCAAACATTAAAATTTGTAATAAATGCAAGAAATTACGAGGAGAAAAAAGAAAAATAGCCAAGATTATACAAGGAAAATGTATCCCCAGAGAAACCGTATCCCTGTTAAAAGCACTGAGATACTGACGCGCTATTAACAGCTCTGACATACCTAGCCGAAGGATTGGAGCTTACACTGTTGTTCACGGTAAATATGAAAAGTCCCTAATTAATTTGCTGGGTGCATGATGGCTGACGGTGTCCATGGTAGAGTTAGACTCTGTTCTTCCTTTAGAAACATTACAAAGAAATAAAGTGTTTACTTCAACCGTCTGGAACGAAGTTTTTTAAACCTTAATCATTCTAAAATCAAATAATACTTGAGAAAAAATTATCAGTTTGAATATAACATAACAATAATAATAAATCCATACAAAAATTATATTTCAGAATCTAATATTAGCTTAGCTTCTAAAGAAATTCTTCACTTTTACGCAACCCGAGGTTTCATTAACGTGTTTCCAAGAACCCAGTTGAAACCAGTCCACATCATCACTTCCTATATATAGCTTGGTTTTAAACATTGTCTTCTCATATGCATGAACATCTCGACCTGGCCTGTAGTATAATAACATTATCAATAATAATGATATTTTCACTATATTATTAATAACTTATTAATTAGTAACTAAGTGGAGTTAGCCCTCCATCAGCCGCCAACATTCGCTCACCTATTCGAGAAATCTTCCGCTCTTTATTCAACCGGACCCTTCATCCCCGTATCCATAAGAACTACCCGGAGGCGTTGTGCAGCATTTCATAACATAAAGAAAGCAGTCTTCTGGGATTTGGCACCGTGTATATGTGGTGTTAACCGACGTTTCGGAGGAACGTATCGCCTCCATCTTCAGGGTATGTGTAGCTGTGTATATTTCCAACACAGTCTGCTTTTACCTGTTCTCACGGTCTCTTCGCTTGCAGATTTCTTATATTTTTTCTTCTACCCTGAAGATGGAGGCGATACGTTCCTCCGAAACGTCGGTTAACACCACATATACACGGTGCCAAATCCCAGAAGACTGCTTTCTTCATAGTCACCGCCGTGAAAGCCTCAAATCTTACATTTCATAACATAGTTTTCTGTTAACCCCCTGTCCTATTCCTATGCAGCAGGTCCATCCCTTGTTGGCTATCCGAGACTGCTTATTCAGTATATTTGCAGCTACCCTTCCCCGTGTGGAGTCCGCCCAACCCATTCGTAGCCTGAGGGCGCATTATAGCGGTCCCACTTAACCTGGATTACTTTGTTATGATCCCTGTTGTTATTACTCCTGTGTCCCGCATTACTAAGAGGGTGTTATCCCGTGCTCCCTTACCGCTGCCACTCTTCTGTAATCTCATTTATGCTTTCCTGTTAGTGACGGTAGCTGCATTATGTATGGTAGTGTGGCCTGCTGATAATCCTTCGTGACTAATTAGCACATTTGTAACGTGACGTGGTTGGTCTCTTGAGGTGGGAAGTGGGTGGCTCACCTCTACCGGAGCCTGGCGACGATCAGCGGTACACGACCGGAGGCGGGGGCCTCTTCGTTCTGCCCCGGCCTCGACCCCACGATTCCGGGCGCTACCTCTGTGTGGCAAGCAACTCAGCGGGCAGTTCGCGGATGGAGATAAACCTTCTGGTGACGTCGCCACTATCGGCACGGGTTTCGCCTGCCCTCCACACCGCGGCGCTCGGACAGCCAGCACATTTCTCTTGCACTGCTGCAGGACATCCCATTGTTACACTCCTCTGGTTCAAAGATGGCCTACCGCTCTCAGGTCCTGCAGTGCAGACGGGAATGGCGAGGGAGTTGCTGCGACTGCCTTCTGTCACGAGGGATGATCAGGGAATATATCAGTGCTTCGTGAAGAATGAACAAGATGTCGCCCAAGGCACAGCAGAGCTTCGACTTGGAGGTAGGTACAATTTCTTTTACAAATTTGAAATGAACCTGATACACCGTTCTCTGTTTTCAAAGTTGCGTCTTTTCTGAATGTTAATGTCACATAAAATTTGAGGCAACTATTCAGCTTTTGATTTCCTGATTTATGACACTGGATCATTTGGTAGGTGTTTACGCACGTTTTGGGGGAACCACCTACTAGATTTTAAATTAAATAGTGATTCTCAACACTTTTCAGTTGCCTTAAAGGCGGAGATGAATAAGCGAAACATAGATTCACGTGTTTATGACGCAGAGAATAGCATGATAATTTTGAGCTTAAAAATTTTTGCAAAGAATGTGACCTGACTAAATTCTGCAATGTATAAAGCCCGAAAATTTTGCATGAAGAATTAGGCATAGTTTAAATGTTCTGCAAACTACTTAGACGTTCCCACCTCATGATTCAAGGTACGCGGTTTCAAAAACCCGGCGGAGGTAGTGGAATTTTTAAGGGCGGAAAAATTCAGGGAACAAGTCCTCCGGGAGGGACTTTAAGCCGTGGGTCCCGTGTCGTAGCTTTACGGCACGTAAAAGAACCTCATGTCTCTAGGAGACCTCTGAGCTAAATTAGGCCAAAAAGTTTCCCGCCCAAGTAGTTTCCAATGTCTCCGGTAGATGGGGAAGTATTAGGTACCACTGCCAGAGGAGGGACGACCTCTCTGACAGAAAGGGACTAACTATTAGATACCACTGCCAAGTAGAGGGTACAAACCTCGCTGGCAGAAAGGGGCTGATAGCGAGCACCAGTACCGGTAGGGGATGGTGACAGTAGAAATTAAAAGGGGAACGTACAATAGACTATCAGTCGCGGTGCATGGGGAAACCCACCCCCTCAATACTGAATAACTGAAATAACTGAAGTCACTGATCAGAACTAGTGAAACTTCATGGCAAGCGAGGTCGCTTTGGTGGACCCAGAAGCAGAGATTAAGCACAGTGCCTTTCTAAATAATTCTATATCCCGTCATTGAGCTGTGAGTTCTCCATAAACTGAATGTTATTTCTCCCCTTGCCACTTTCGTCCGCCTAAATTTCAGACATTGTTTCCGAATGTATTTACTATCATGGATAAAACTAGTTCCAGGCCTTTCTTAAACCCTCCTACTTGGAGCAAATTTTGTCTTCGAATTCGTATTTTTTCATGGATACTTAATGGAATGTAGACGCATGAGTTCGGAATATTCATTGAAATGTACGAATGAGTTTAAGCTAAAGTAACGAGCAGCATAAATATAATACACTGTACAGTTTTTCGTGTTACTATTCACAGTCCTAGCGCTCTAGCGTCTGCACAAATGTAATTACAGAATACAGCGTTATTGCTTGTTTCTCATTTTAGATAGTAACGTTTATTGTCGTACAGTTCTCACACCACAGCCAGTGTTTCTTTGTTACCGTGCTCTTACACGCTTGAAGACTGAAATCCATAATACTAGTACTTAAAATTCAGTTCCTGATACCGTAACTCCTTGGCCCGTAGTCGATAAGCGAAGTATACCCACCGAGCGACCGCCGCTTGTCGGCGAAGTTAGTGCCAACTTTGGCGGATAGAGGGTGTCGCGTGGTCAGCGCAACGAATTCCCGCGGCCGTTAATCTCGGCTTTCTAGGCCGAAGCCGCTATTTCCTTGAAATAGCTCCTCAATTATCCTCACGAGGCTGAGTGGACCCCGTTCCAGACCCACTATTTCCCATAAAATTTGGTAGCGCCAGGAATAGAACTCGGGACCTCTGAATCTGTAGCCAGGAACTCTCACCACTAGACCATAGACACAAACACAGTATACACTACAAAGAACAGTAAGGTATGGTATTAGGGAAACTAGTTTAGGACCCACACGAAACACACGAGTATACTGTGTGGGGGGAAAAAACTGGATGAAATTTGAGAAGAAATGTTTTAAATTAAATATTTTTCAGTATTATAGCGCAGTCGACATAGCGACTGGCTACGGCCTGGACGGAGCTCAGAGTTCAAGTGGCTATAGTTTTTAAATTAAAAATTTAAAATTTTCTTGTCTCGTGACTTGTCATATCGTCCACATTACTCGCGAGCATAGCGAGTCACACGAGCACGAGCACGAGTAATGTGGACGCGCCTTAAGTCTGTCTTGACATGGTATTTATATAACCATATGCTACAGAGCGTATCACACTAACAATTAAAAGTTGCAGTGTAATTAACATCCCTGTGACCTACCAAGTGTTTCTGATTACGTTAGAATTGTTCGTTCCAAAACATTATGCAGCGAAACATAGTTACTGTTAATTGTGAATGAATGATACACACAGATCGTAATGTAGGCTATAAACTGGCCAATTCGTGCAAACATCTATATGCAATTCATGGGTCTGTTATCTAAACGACGGACCATGCAGTGTGCTGTGTTATGACAAATTGGCCTTTATTAACCGTGTCGCACTAATCGAGGGGCACAGACCAGTCCAGGCCTCGTCTGCTTAATCGATATATCCGGTGGCATGGTACTACTGAAGCTTACAGGAAGTTATTTCCAATTAACTGACAACATAGTGCGGGGGCATTTTATGCGAATTTCAGTTATGCGATTTTGAAATAGTACGATATAAAAATATTAATGAACTCCCACTTTATGTACAAATTTTGAAACAGCATTGATACCAAAAAATTCAGTAAGAATTACCTGTGTGTTTTAAAATTATGAGACAACTTATCTTGAATTATGCTGTGTCTTCAGGAAAGCATCCTCGTATGAAATGGAACCGTACTTTGTAAATTCTCACGGAACTTCAAGATAAGAAAGATATCTGCACACTCTCATCGCATTCAGGAGTTCGCGGGTTCAGATCTTGGTACGGAAATCAGTTATCATGAATCGGGTTCTTCATGGTATTCCTCAGTCCCTCTAGGAATATTCCAGGAGTTAATTAGGCCACACCTTTTCCATTTTAGTATTCACGAGTCAGCCCAACATTCGACGGTGTATATTCCTAATCATTAAGAGCGTATTTAATTAAGTAAGTAAATGACATTGCATTAAGATTACTGTCCAATTAGTGACGCGGTGTAGAACTGATACATGGAGCCAGCAAGTCTCTCCGAATCGTCTGTACCAAAGTTCATGACTTCATATCTCAGAGGACCATACTTTTAATATTTAGAGTCGTGACTGCCTCAATTTTTTCAAGTTAACATATTCTCTGCTTGCAAGAACTATCATACCATTACTGCTATATCATTGTTCTGTCTTGAGAAGGGGGATTAAAGACCTTATAAAGAAATCGGTCTTCTGAGATGTGGCGCCGTGTAGATATTGTGTTAACCGACGTTTCAGAGGAACATATCGCCTCCATCTTCAGGGTAGAAGAAAAGAAAAAGAATAGATCCGCGAGAGAACCAGCGTGAGTAGGTGAAAACAGTGTGCATGAGTTGCAAATTAGACAATTGCCCCAACCCAAAGATTTTAAATATCGAACCAGATCTGTACAAAATATTAAAATAAAAACATAAAAAAGTAAAGGTATTCCTGTAACAGGCCGTGGAGGCCCATAGGGTTGTGAGATGTTGAGGTTCCCACATTTTCTAGATAATCGGCTCATAGATGGCGGCAAGGTTGTCAGCCTTACGCGCCGGCCGCCCTTTACCCCCAGGAATATTCCTGGTACTCATTTATGTTAGAGGCTCAGGCGACCCCAGGGACATAGTGCGGCTGGAAGGATTAGTTCAATTGAAAAAAAAATCAAATGACCTCATCTAGACTTGAACTCACGACCTTCTGGCTTGTAGCATAGTGCTACCGCGTGCCCCATGAGAGAAAACATTCTCTCCATAATTTTCCTTGTCTTATCAATTTACACATATTCCGCGCCAATCCACACAAACGAGCCACAACTGCTTCCTCTCAGTTCACATTCATTTGTCATCCGACGCCAGATAAAATCCTGAAGATGAACTTAGCAAACAAACACATTAAAGTTGCAGATTTTTACTAAAAAGAGAATTCTTAGTACTGAAAATGAAGACATTAGTAGAACATCAGTTTTCTGAGTTACGGAAATATTTCCTCAAGAATTGTTCTGACCCCACTTCCATGGCGTGCCCCCCCACCAGCCTGTCAGACAAGAATATATATCGCACCACCCCTCCATTCCAGTTCTCTCTCCTGCTTTGCAGCATTTTCTGAGTAAAATTTACTGTGCCTAGTTGCCAATTTCATAGTTTTGCAAAGATTTCATGCTACTATGACCGTAGGGTTCGATCCCGGGTCTGGTAAAGTGGGATTTGTGGTGGACAAAGTGGCGCTGGGCAGGTTTTCTCCGAGTACTTCGGTTTCCCCTGCCAATCTTCATTCCACCAATTGCTCCACAATCACCCTCACCTATCTGGGGCTGGTACAATAGGCCAGAAGTGGCCGCAGTACAAGGGACTTAGTCCCACCCCACTAGCAACAAAAACAATACTATGACCGTGGAATCAGGCCTACGTCTAATTACAATGGCATTATAAATTACTGACAGGCCTGTGTGACAGGAACAGTGGATAAATACAGACATACACAGGATCATATAGAAGATCACGTTGCCCGGTCACTCCACAATCCAGTGGAGATTTCAGATTTGCATTGCTCTGCCTGCTGAGGAGATCCTGATAACCCAACCGTCATCCGTTTTTTATTAAAAAATTGTTTGTATTCAGTATGGATATATATAATTAGAATGATCAAGTCAAGGAGGATGAGTTGAGCAGGGCATGTAGCACGAATGGGGAAGACGAGAAATGGATATAGGATATTGGTGGGGAAGCCAGAAAGAAATAGACCACTGGGAAGACCAAGGAGTAGGTGGGTGGGCTCTTGTGAACACGGTAATGAACCTTCAGGGTTCCATAAAATGCTAGGAAATTCTTGAGTAGCTGCAGAATTGGCGGCTCCTCCAGAAGGGCTCGGCTCCATGAGGAAGTATATATATTCTTTACTCGTCACATAATTGTTAGCGTGAACTCTGAATATTGCCTGAACAATATAAGCTGATTTCTTTGTCTTTTGTCTTTTGCTACTGTGTATGATTTTTTCCTTCTCTTGCTCGTGCGTATTTCACAATGTAAGCATGTGAATGCATAAAAACTGATCTGAATTGTCAATGTTATCATCGGCATTATTATTGTGCTGCTAATGGTATATTATTATTAATTATTAAATATTAATTTTATTTAGCATATGTATCATCATCATCAGTAATCTGTCAAGACGACAGGTCCACAGTCTCTTCCAAAACAATTCCTCCACTTAATGCGATCTAGAGCTTTCTCCTTCAAATGACAGTATCCTCTTCTGTCCCCAAGGTCATCCAGCATCTTCTTACGTCTTCTTCCTCGTCTTCTTGTCACTTCTATCCGCCCATCTATCTTTCCTTCGATAGCTTCTTTTAGAAGGCAGTTTCTGCGT